ATCAATCTAAGACAATTAACTTCTTTAAGAAGTGACTGCCGAAAAAATATGTCCCGAATAGAAATCCATCCTGTGTTCACTAGGACAGGTGCAGTCAGTAAACTAGGTCTGCGTAATACGCACGGACGAGTTAGCGTCGCTGTTGATATATGTAAAGAAGTTAAAGATACCCAGTAAGTCGACTCTTATAGTGGCAAATAACAAATGGAATACCTGCATGATCGAAATTCTGAATCGTGGGAAAGCATCACTGATGAATGTACAGTGTTTATGCCAATGCCTAAAACATGGCATTGAGGGCTAACTTCAGGCAGTATTCTTTTTGCATTTACGACCGAAAGTATGCCTTATTTAACAAGATAATTCCTATCTTTGTCTTCAACAGTGGAGGTCCTGTACAACTAAACTTCAGAAAAGACCCGTCGGGTGATGTTTACGCGAAAATTTCCAACTTCATTAAACGACTAATATTTACCTTGCTCGTATCAGCCAGTTTTGCCTAGACGAGAACCCATATTTCCTCGTCCTCCGGGATGACTTACTATGGGCCTCCTAATAATCTACCGGATAACTACGTCTCATCATCTAGCTTTTACCGTCCGTCGAGGTATCCCTGACCAACTAAGGTCTTTACGTCGAGGACACTAATTTTCATGGATGATAAGCCAGCGCAATGATCCGGCATTTAGCATTTGGTTGACCGGAACCATAAACAACTTTCCCCTCCGCTCGAGGACATATCGCACAATCCAGGCCGGGGATTAGGGGAAGCTGAGGGCCGGTTTGTTTGTGCAGTGCTGAAAACAGTGGAGCAGACGCTCGGGCATGCGCGAGGTTTCTCCGTCCCCCCGAGCCCTGCTCGAGTGCGTACAGCCGTGTGCGCTGCCGGAGCGTGATGATAAGACCTCGAGACTGGCGCGCACTGTCGTCGTTCCCTTTTGCACAGAGAATCCCACATTGGCTCGCAAACCCCCTCCTCGCCTCATACTTGCAGACCCAATGGTTCCCGTTCCTCTTTACATATCCCAGTGGATTTCGAATCCAAAGTGTCCCACCGGCCTAAAAGAGTAGGTGCAAACACCTACAGTGCAAACGAGGACCCAGAGGACTCCGCCCCTCTCAAAGTATGAAAGCAGATAGGCTCAACCTCTCAGGACTACTGAGGAGTACTAAAAGTTGAGTAACTATGAGGCTTTGGGTATTGGTTACGACCGAATCCCATTTTCAAAATTGTTACTGTCCATCGTCGGACGGCCATACATCAGCCCTGCCTGAAACTGCCTGTGGGGACCCCAAATCACAGCACTAAGGCCAAACGAGGTCATTCACCCCCCATTCTCTAATCACGACGGGGCGGCAAAAGTCATTTCCATTTGGTAACGTATAAGCAAAGTTCGGTTTTTACAGCTTAACCCCATCCTGGCGTGAAGCAGGAAGGACAAGGTAGTGGTGCTGTGAATTTTACACCACGCCGGGTCACTGAAGGTGGCCAACCACACTTCTGATTCACGAATTTTTTGCTTTAGCTAGAGCATGCACACCCAAGGACCCTAAAGCAACTGCTGACGCTGTTGACTCATCGCTCTCTTTAATCAGATTTTGGCAAAACTGCTTAAATTTCCTAACGGACCGCGAAACATTGTTGAGAACCTACCACGGTCTTAATTGAAACCACAGTATCTCAGTACTGCCTTTGCGGTTGTAGACGCCGTTTTCGTGCTCTCTGCGCCGGGCTAGTTTGAGCCTGATTGCCAGTGCGGTTCTTTTTGTCTTTTCGTAACACTAACCCCTAGACAAACCAGGCGGTCTCTTGTGTGTGTGTAATCGAATTGCGCGCGAAGAGACGCACAAGCAAATGAATCTGGCTGGCCCTCCGTCCATCCGCCAGCCCGGCTACCGCGCACTAATTGCGGCGGTTGTTTCTGCGCATCTGTGGTGGCGGCGGTGGTCACCAACTAGTGCTGGTCAAGACGCAGTTCGAGGTGATCGGGAGTGGTGGTCGTCTGGTGCGGAGCTGACGAATGGAACCGGCGACACGAAGAACAGGTCGAGTGTGAGCCGCCCTGGCCTATCTGCACACCAAACTTTCGTCGACCGTAACTTGCTATCTGACTGGTTGTAAACCTTCTCCTTTTCTTTGCCTGAGCCTGTGACGAATTTCTATGGCTTTAGTTAGCGCACATACAGGCGGGATAACTGATTCATGGCAATTCGTTTATTCGCTGACCGTCAGCCCTAATCCCCAGTAGTCAAGAGACATACCAGTTTGCCGTTATTCCATGGGACGTAGCATGCATCTAAACTTGTGAAATCGACTGAAGCAGTCAAATTTTCTTTCAACTAGAAGCGAAAACTGAAGTTGGGTTTCAATTCATATAAGCTTGGAGCGTTATTTCGAGTTCAGTCATGCATAGTAACAAGTCGACCGCCGGTCGAAAAGGTCCCCAGTCGTCTCTGTGATCCCAGCCTATAAAGAAGACCCTCTGCGTTGCAAGTACTTCCCAGACTGGAAAAAGTACACCTCTTTTATTAGTTCTGTTGGGAAGTTCCGAATCTTTTGACAGTTAACCCTTCTCATTTTCCAGTTTTTACTTGTCATTCATACTGTAGCTGCATCACAATCTGGCCAACTTAGGTAGGTGAGCGTTCGATGTGATAGGTCGACTATCGCGAACGATGACGTCCACCGTGTTCCCCATAGAGTTGGTGTAGGGCGGTAATTTGTACATGAATTAGTTTCTAGTGAGACAGACTCCAGCATCATCTGCCGCATTCTCCCCCCTCATACGTCTGGCTCCGACGATAAGACAACGTCAGAACGAACGGAGGAGGGCACGATGCAGCGTCTGACAAGGTCCCTACACATATACGCATACTCCAAAGTTCGTACCCAGGGTTATCTCACAGTTTTCTTACAATGTTAAACCCGGTTAGTAGTGCAAATCAGTCAAAGCTGTTTATGTGCCCCAGTCCATTTTTAAAATGACTTTTTTGACATTTCTCATAATTTTATATGGCATTAGTATCAGTAGTGATGCAAGCAAACTGCCGCTGCCAAATGATTCATACCTAGAAAAATATCCAGAAATAATACTTCTGGGGTATTATTTTGCCTAAATGAGGGACAGAACATGCATTAAAAAGCAATAAACCCCTTGACGCTGTCTGTCACTCCTGTGGACCCGCATACATCCTCAGGAGCTAGTTGTCCCCTGGCAGCCTGTCTCCGCAGCAAAGGGTCAAACGTAAACAAACCAAAAGTGGGCTTCTCCGGATGCTGATGCAGAGCGGCAGCTAGGGCAGGTAATGCCCATAAAAAGAGCAGTTCACGGACAACCGAGTAATTTGACATCGCGGGCGGTGGCCCTGTTAATGTCTTTATGCACCTAACCCTGATCCGAGCAGAAAGACAAGGCCCGATTCGCGCCCACTCCCACGCACCCTCCCCTCCCTCCCTCCCCCCACCGACGGTAGGCATGTTCGACAGTTCACGTCCCTGAAAAGGAAGCAATTGATCGTTATTCAGTCCTCTTGGGTCATTCACTCGCTAGGAAAGAGCACTTGCCCGGGCAAGTAGGAAAATTTAGCATTCCTACGGAGCAAAAGAGCTGAGCCTCTGGAAGTTCTCGGCGGTAGCAGGGGATGCATGATTGTAGTCGCCCTCCGGCCTCCCCCTATTACCTGACCGAGGCACACCATTTAGCGAATCCACATTTGAATAACTTTCCTTGTCTGGTATGATTTCAGAAGGGAATAAGTGTGTCTTGTTTTGCGTTGGATTTCCAGGTTAGAGCCTTGGAGAAGGTCGCGTTGTGACGAATGAGTAGTGATAGAAAAGCATTACTGGCAGGGCCATGGGAACTTGGGATGTCAGCTTCTGACATATTTGCCACGTTCGGATGACCATACGCTAAAGTCACGCCAGGGGGTCTGAGATATGAATCCCATTCTAATCAATCGTTTCCTCTAACGTACCGACTGAGCCACTCAAATGGCCACTAAACTCAAGTCCTAGGTGTGCCCCGTCTGGATGTAACTGGCTGAATTAATGACTACGGAAAATAACCTCTTCTATTCTCTTGTCTGCATAACTTCTAAATTACCAAAACGGCCAGCCATCCCGCAAGTTCGACGGATCGAAGCCTTTTTACGTAGGTACTTCACGTATTAAGGATACTACCGCTGGGACCGCACCACTGCTCGGTCCCAGCAAATAGTAAAACAATATTGAAAAGACCATAGAAGCCAGGGCAACCGGTCCAGAAACCTCGGTGAATTCTGTGTGAAGTTACGTTGTAGTTTGGTCCCCAATACTAGAGCCTGTGTCGTGGCGTTATAACTGTCAGACTATTCGAGTTCGAGAATTTCTCGGCCATGGACCTGACAGTGGCAACCAAGTCCTGGCCTCCTAAGTTTTGTGGGCAACAGTTCTCAAGATGTAATTCCCAGATATGTCACATCAGGCGCATCGGAACCAGCTGGCAGTTCATATCTTCTTGTCGAATGTTTACGTTCATGGTGAAAGAAGGTAGTCGAATTGCATACTGAAACAGTTGACGTACTGCAATAAAAAGTACGGTAACGAGACAGGTAAGTGCATAAAACCTTCAGCACTGCTGTTAGCTACAGCTTAGTTTGTCCTTTCGGGGAGCCATCGTTCACTATATTTCTCATCTGTTTACTCTTCAACTGTCTTATTGATATTACACTTCAACTAGGTTAGTTCATTTGTTTTCCGCAGCTTGTTTATATCAGCAAATGTCAGACCCATTCAAAACTTCGTTCCATACTCTATTCGGGAAATCATTATTAGTTAGGTGAAAAATTCAATAACGCGGTTCGTCTTATCAACTTAATGGACACTGCTGTCTTGTATTCTTTGCCTCGGCTGGAGAGGTAGACAAGTCGGAATTTTCAAATCATTTCATATTTCGCTTTCTTGCAGGAAGCCGTCCCCATAATCAGACTGAAGAATGGCAAATACGTTTGGGCACTCGCATATGCAAGAGAAGCCCCCTATTCGTTCTCATCGACCTCAAAGGAAAAAGTTCACCCTTCTCACTGTGCGCGACATGCTTGATTCCGACGACAACTCGAACTCCTCTCCCGTATCCCCGGTATCCGTCACAGAAACCGCCTCGAAGGTCTCCATCGCCACTTACTCCGTCTTGCAGTTAAACTGTCCAGACAGCCAGAAGTTAGTTGGTTCACCACTATCCTCCTCCTCTCCCACTTCGTCATCGTCCCCGTCACCGCCGTCGCCGCCGCCACTATCGCAACTACCACTCCCACCAACCGTGGAGCCTGTCCTGAGGTGCCCGTTATCGTCCAACATGGGTTCGTCGTCTTCAACGGAACTTAGCCCCAAGGTAACGAGGGTGCTGCCGACAGCCAAAGACTTATCCGGCAGTGGAAATTGGTTTCAGTCATCCGATAGGGGGTCATCAAACATTCCAGATCCTAAAGATGTTATCTATGCAACTTACCTGTATCAGTACTTCAGTTACCTCCAGCGGTGCATGTCCGTATCGGCGGATCACCAGATGACGTCTGAGGGAATAAAGCGAAAGCGGCTATCAGCAGTCCCAGTGACTGGAGATAGGGTGAATGGCGTTCAGTACCAGACCGCGCCGCTGTTGGATAAAGAGACACGATCACCCACTGAGATAAGAGGATCACAGAAGCCTCTCCTCGGAACAGTTTTCCAGCAGAAGCCCGAATCTTCCTCATCTTCCCCCTCCTCCTCTCCAACAGTCTCTGCAACGGCAACAGTATTACGGGGGCCCAGTTCTATGGCTCTCACCACGAAGACAGCTGCGGCAATGGTCGTGGCGGCCGCTGCCCTTGCTCGACGTGATCGCCGGAACGATACGTGCGAGTACTGTGGGAAGGTCTTTAAGAACTGCAGTAACCTCACCGTCCACCGTCGCAGCCACACCGGTGAGAAGCCCTACAAATGCGGCCTTTGCAATTACGCTTGCGCCCAGTCCTCCAAACTAACTCGCCATATGAAAACTCACGGTAAGGACGGGCGACCGAGCCACCTTTGCAAGTACTGTTTCACCCCCTTCATCGTGCCCTCGACACTGGAGAAACACATGCGCAAGTGCATGAAGAGTCGTCATGTGCAGCCCCTACCAGGGGCAGTCGCAGCCGCAGCTGCCGCTGCATCCCGTAACTATGGCCGTGGGTTTCTGCGACGTATCGCCTCCCCTTTACTGGGTGAGAAGTCGTTCCAAAGCACAGTTGCCACTCCGCCACCTCCTTCGAGCGTGCCAGTAACAACAGTAGGACCAAAGTTGCCATCCCCTGATGGAATGCTGATAGCAGGGAACTGGGGTCCAGTACCGCAGGCTTTTATGAGACCCAGTGGAGAAAGCCGTGCGAGGGAAACGGCGTTCCCCCGAGCTTCGCAGCGAATACCAACCGAAACAACTCTCCGCCCACCAACTTCATTTCCGATGTCGCGTTTCTCACCGGCTTGCGGTTTCAGGCAGCTCACTGCTGCTACCACTGCAAATGCATTCCTGCCTAACGGGGGTCGTCTGAATTGCAGTGCGGCCCTCACCTCCCCCGGAGCGGCCTCCTTGCTCGAGAACCTGGCACCACATCTGTCGGCTGGTAGTCCACTTCAAAATCCCCTCCTCTTCCACCAACTCTACTCCAGCCTAGCTCACTACCCCTCTGTGCATCGTTTTCCCTAAGCGTCTCACCGCCCGCTCACTTCATCTCTTCGCTGTGCGAATATGCACTGACGCAAAGGCTGCGGGCACTATGTCGGCAGTTAGACTGCACGCTTACTCCGCATCAACCTGCCAATTTGGTTGATCCACTCATGAAAATAACGTTTTTGACTGCAGAACTTCCTTATTTTTAAGGGGACTAAATTTTCTATCACTCATTTAAGAGCACGCTTAGACGGCAATTGGAATCTGCGGTTGGTTTATTGGTGTCTGTTTGGGAGACTACGGCAAGGGCTTGCGATTTTTGAATGCACTCCGTCTTATTGGGTACATTTACAACGAAATATCGCGGAAGAATATAACGTAGATACCGGGTTCTCAGCGACCTCTAAAGTTCAGGCATGAGACAAATCACTGTTAAATGGAAGTTCTCTTGTTATTCCTCCTCCTTCATAAAAAATCATCTAAGAAAGATAAGTCAGAGAAACTTGACAGATAGGAACAGAGGGGAGCTAATTACTCTAAATTCTCCCCAACTTGGCTAAAGTTACAGTTTAGGTCTAAGCAGATAGTCTGTACAGAAGAAAATGAGATAAGTGGAACAAGAAGTCTATCGGCCTGACAGTTAGGATTTTCATTCGAACCCATCATCAGAGACGGTCGCAGATAAAGGTAATGAAGGCACAAACTTTAATTTTTAGGCGACAAACACGACGCAAGTACTGAATTTCAACAGTAACCAGCCGGCCAGTCACAGACGCAGTTGCGTAATGGCTCTATACCGGCGCGTTGAGACGCATTGCAGTGGGACGGAAGACAAGGTTGTTGAATTACAATAACTTCGACGGATACTGAGAGCCCACGGCTATCCGCGCAACTCTGTTAGCCAATGTGTACGCAAACGAAACCAGAGACCAAATCCAACCGGCCCCAAATTTTAGTGAGCTCTTCCGTACGTAAAGAACGTCTCAGAAGCCGTCAGCCACCTTCTCACTCCACTTGGAGTTGGCGTTGCACACAGGCCGGAAGCAACCATCAGGCGCCAAGTCATGAGGCCTAAAGACCCGCCGCCATGGCAGGAAACATCAGGAATAGTTTAGCGGATCTGGTACAGTTGCGGACAAAGCAACTACGTCGAAAAAACTGGAAGAATGTTTCGGACGTGAATGGCCGAACACGCAGCAGCAGTGAGGCGGGGAGACGCTAGCTCCCAGGTGGTGACTCATTCCACGGAACCCGGCCAGATTTTAAGTTTCAAGAGGCTGAAATCCCCGCAAAAGCTGGCTCTGTAAGTCCGGTTGGCAGTTTCGTCTTCGATCTTGATGTGTCTTAGAATTGTGCTTCTCAGGTGTGCAAATTTCGTCACCGATGCGAGGCCCGTCTCATTGACAATGATCCTGGGTCTTTGCAACCGTCAGATGGTGCCAGACGATGTATAGTCACTAAATTCAACAGTTGCGCAGCTGTTGCATCGCTACGCCTGTAGTGGTATTTATCGCGGAAAAGGGAGCGTGACACTGGCCTACATACACCGGACGTTGGCAAGTTGTCGTTTGGCTCGGTAATCAGCGTCGACCTCCGGCCGCTCCTTACCGCAAGCGTTCAGCAGCATGGTGAAGAGCAGGAAGCTGGATATAGTGAAGCGAATAAACAACTCTGCTCCGGGAATCCGCATTTCGACATAACTTTCCAGATTTCATCGCGATTTACTGTGTCGAAGGCTTTCGTCAGTTCCACGAAGACCGTGTGAAGGCCACTCGCGCTTCTTGGCACGTTGTCTGTGGTTGATGTACTGAGAAGATACTATATACAGTTCCTTGATGTGCCCGAAACCCGCATTGTGTTTCTGGGAGGAGTCCCTGCTTCGGGTGCCTGTTCAGGTGGCTGAGTAACATGAGTGCGTCCATATTGTCGGCAATACTAATAGGGTAGCTGCTTTTGTGATAGTCGCTGGTTCCCTCACACTTGCATGAATGGGGTTCTCGGAGTTTTGGGGACTTTCCATTGTTCCTCTATCTTCTTAATAAATGAGGTTCTCTTCTCCACGAGCTTATGACCGCCGTATTTACGAACTTCGGATAAAATTGTCTTAGCTCCCGGTGTTCATCCACTGGAAAATGTTTGCTCCACGCTGACTGGCTCTTGGCGGGAAGGCGAACGGTCGAGGTCGTCATTGGAGTTCACGTAAGGAAGACAATTGATGAATTTCACGCAGATTGTAGACGGGTGATTGAGGACGTCCTTGAAATGCGCGACCCAGCGCTCCGGGATCCGTAACTTCTTCGTCAGTAGTTTACTCTATCATAGCTGAACAGCAGTGAGCCTCGATGGGTTAGGAATAGTTAACTATTTTGATGGCTAAGCGTAAATCCTTCATCTCCCCGCAGTTCGGAACATGCACTGAGGGAATTGGGTCTTTTTACTCTGGACTGAGGGTCTGACCACAATGTCTCCTCTTTATTGTGGCGTCTATGGCATCCTACTTCGAGTGAGAACCCAGACCTTCGTTAAATTTTGGTATGTGTGGAGTCAGGGACCGAACTGTGTGTGGAACATTTCGGCGGACTGTTTAGCTTTATCTGCCACTGCATCTACGTCCACCTCAGGTCGTATTGACTCTGTCTTGCCACCGAGAGGAAAGAGACAGAAGCAGATGCAACGCAAGTGTGGTTTCCCACAAACAAATTCGTACGCGAGTTATGGCCGTACCGATCTCGTGATGCAGTAGTAGATTTCGTCGTTTCTGACGGTTAAACTATCAGCGAATGAAACCTGACGCGGGGTGCCCAGCTGAAGCATACATCATCCCGCGTATGAACAATAAAATTCGAGTTTGGTGCAATCATACTAGTCGCTGTCGTCCACTACCCATTTTCTTCCCATATTGAGAGAAAGAATAGGAAGAAGGACTTATGGTGGCCCATTCATAAGATTTGTCCTGATAAACACTTTTTGACTCCACGGGAGGTTGTTATAACACTGACTAAAAAGGTGTTAGGACTTTCTGAACGTGGATAATTCTAAAGCCAGCCCAGAAGAGGAGTTGGGCGATCTGAGCGAATGGGTCCATATATAGCTTAAATTAGAGGCGTAACTAAAACACGAAAAACCGCTTGCGAGAGACAAAGAGGAGATCAGAATTACCACGGCCTCGAATTTGTACTCAAATGCTACCGTTGGTATCCTGTCCCGTCCTTCGGTGGCGTTGGCAGAATGCTTGTGCTCACTATCTATAATCAGAATTTTTCACCCTTCCCTCGGTCTTCTGATCCTACCGCTTTTTCTTTATGTTCTGTGTGGACGTAATTATCAGATTCATCAGCGAGATGGGTGGCGGCCGCGTGGGAGTAGGGATGTTTGGGGGAACGGGACGGGGTCAATTCATCTCCTGCCCTAACACGGAGAAGCGAGTTTCCGTTGCGTTCGGGCGTTCAGCCCATAGGTCCACGCCGTGCATCTGCGTCGATGTTGCCTCCCCCTCCTCCAACTCTTTGCAGTCACATAATGACAATGCCGATGATGAGTCTAGGGGCGCTGGAAAAAACAAAAAACCCCCTCGCGTGCTCCTCGCACCGGTTTCGTCTCAGTAAGAGAAGACTGTAGGGGTGGGGCTTGCATGATCCCCCCCTGTGAGGCAGGGGACTGCTCGGTCGTTGGGACCAAGCGCCCTTTCCTGGGGTCACAGCTGGCAGTCGACCCTCGTTAACTCATTCGCGCGGCAAAAGGGCCTTATGGTGAGGGCTTTTCGGGCGCAGGTAACGCTGGAAAGGGATGGCGTGATCCACCCGTCGGCCTAGGGCGCCCTCACCACCAGACGTCAGTTTTGCGTCCATGAGCAGCCCTCATTCAGCCACCACTAGTTATCGGTGTGCCCTAAACAATTTCCCAGATAGGGGTTGGTCGACCCATCTCTTGTAATGCTGCGAAGCCCCACAGATAGAGGGTTCAACAGAGATCGCTGTACCCACAGTTTGTTGTACTTCGACCTCGATCCTGAGTCTGCATTAATGGTCCTAGGAATTTCCCGGTGTAAATTCTGAGTCGTGAATGAGGCTGAGAAATCAAACCAATTGAAGTAGTTCCGGCGTAGTTTGGTCCTGCAGCCCCACTTGATTGTCATCATACAGTTAGCTAACTAAAACAATTGTAGTTAATATATCTAACTTAGCCACTCGTTGGATTAGGAAGGGAAAGAGAGCACAAGCAGAGTTCAAAACAGGCGCAGGAAAGCGCGCATGAACCGGTGCCTGGCGTAACCGAAGGTGGCGTACACACACACTTCCGGCGACATAGCCACTCGCTGAATTAAGAGGGTAGGGAGAGCGCAATCACAACTGGGAGGCCACAGAGGGAACCGTGGATTAATTCTCAGTACATGGCCACCATAGTTGAACCGACGGACGGAGTTCCACACCGTCCGAACAATGACATTAGCAAGCTTTAATATTACGAAGTGTTTCCATCGCATCATGCCTATCCATATTTCGTATTTTGCCACTAAATAAGATACAAAAATCCAATAGCAGCTGTTTGTTGGAGTGAGGGCGGACATAATTCTGCATATCAAAATCCCGCTCGTCAGAGCCAGATACCATAAAAACAGCTGGATACTTCCGAGCAACCAACTATTTGAAAATCGTTGTTTTTCTGAGCTCCGTTTAGCCATTGTTTAATTCACCTAGTCCCCAAGAAGTATTTTTATTTCGACTGTATAATGGCTTCTAAGACTTGCAGTTGTGGGAAGGAAAGTTCTGGTTCACGTGCTTCCCTCTCATTTTGATTGGGACATCAAGTTGCCCTTCTTATTCTTCTGCCTTTTCCTTTCTTCACTCTCCCCATGCATCTTTTTTCCTTATGTACTCGTTTTTTGATGGCCTACGCAAACTTTAACATTTTGTTTGCTATTTCATGAACCCCACATGTTTCTTTATCCATTTCTCCTCTCCCTATCCCTGACCGGTGGTGCAGTTCACTCCTTTTCCATTCAGCCTGTCCCTATTGCACACTTGTTGTTTTGTAGC